CTAGCACTTAGCAGTTGGGAGCTATAAGCAACAGGCACTAATGCTTCCATTTTAGGTGTTCCACGGTTATCCCAGGGTAGGGATAAGCTTGATAGAGGGTGGTAACATCAGTGGGACTTAAGGGTGAGAGATATTTATCCCTGACCTCCTTGATTATGACAGTCCCTCTATTATGCACACTCATAATACAAGGAAAATGGTATCACAGTTTGTTTTTTCACATTATTAGTATGATTCTTTGAGTGATGTATCTTCCAGTCAGTCTGTTTTTACTCATCACTGACTCCCAGTGCTTAGTACGTTGCCTGCCATGTACAGCAAGTGTTCAGATAAATATTTCTTGAGTGAATGAATTAGTGAAAAAAAATTTTGGAAGTACTAGGAAGGAAGAAAGTGCTTCAGAAATAGTGTAGCGCTGCCTTTCTCAGTTCTGCTGATTAAATGCACGACATATACCATAATTATTGGAGTTCCAGATAAGAATCCAGAACATGCTATTTTTTGTAGTGTCATAGGAAGACAACCTTTGTTCCTCTTCACTGGCTGGTGATACACTTGTCTTTGAATGAAATGAGGCATGGGGGCAGTCAATATGCCCTTTTGCCCTGGCCCTGGACTTACCAGTTACAGGTCTCCCAGTGGAGGCATGAGAGTTTTCAGGAAAAGCCAAAAGAAATAAAATAGATCTTCCGTCTCTGCTTGGGGATTCAAGATCAAGGCAAACTTTGGGAGGTTGAAAGCAGGAAGATTTGGGGGTTGTCTGTGTGGTCTGAAGACATCTAAAAGGCTAGCTTGACAAAAACACCCCTTTTTATTAGCCTAATTGGAGATTCACATATTTCTATGTTTAGGAACATAGAATTTAAGAGTTCGGCTTATGAAATGACTCTTAAGGAAGTATAACAGTATAAACATTTTCCTGGGTGAGGCAGGCATGGGCACCTTGGAAGCATGGAAGCATGAATTATTTTGATAAGCTAGCCAGCTCTTACTGAGCCAAAGTCTTTCAAGGGCCAGAAGGAAAGTGATAGGCAAGACGGCAAGGAAATTGGAGTGTGGGGAGTTTGGAGGCTGGTGGGAGTTGGGAAGAGAGGTTTTGAGGAGGATGGTCTCATGGAGCATTCCTGTGGGGTCAAGTAGGCACTTGCAGAGAAATATTGCCAGGGTCCAGGCAAATATGTGGGTATACTCAAACTGGATAGTTTAATAAAGAGGCTATTAGAAATGTGTGATCAAGGAATAGGTAAATCAAACCAGAGACAGAATAGTACCTTGGGACAAGCACTAATAAGGAACCAGCTGGAGCTGCTGCCCTGATGGAGCAAGGGGAAGGGGAGAGAGCAGTTATTAGACCCTGAAAAGGTAGGTGTAGGAGAGACCCCTTATAAACTGTCATGGATTAAATGGGATTAAAGTCTAAAATTCTTTGATAACATCCTTATATCAGGAGGTGGGGGGGGGTCTGTGTTCTCTCCTCTTGAATCCGGGGGGCCTCTGTGACTGCTTTGATCAAGAACACACAGCAGAAGTGATATTGTGCCAGTTTCTAGGCCCAGGCCTTCAGAGATTGGTAGCTTCCATTTCTGTTCTCTTGGACCACTCACTTTGCTGGGAGGAAGTCTAACAGCTCCAAGGAGAGGCCCACCTGGAGAACTGAAGGTCATTGGGATGAACCCAATGAGAGCCAGAGGACAAGAAATCTGTTGATGTTGTCCTTATAGGTCAGAACCCTGGGAGAAGATTGACAGGAGGGAGGGACAAATGGAAGATATCCAGCACAAGCACCAGGCAACTTAATGTTAATATCATGGTGTTGATCCCATTTGATAAAACTCAACTGTCCAACACAACAGAACACAAATCTTTTTTTTTTTTTTTTTAAACAGAGCACAAATCTTAAAAGACAAAGGCAAGTGTCAATTTTGGAACATAGCCAGGTATATGATCAATAAGACAGAAAGGAGAAAAGTTTGCCTATAGACTTTAGGCTCGAAAATGTGGCAACACCCTATAAATGCTGGCCCTCCAGGACCAGGAAAGGCTGGGGCTGAGCTACTCCTTCTGTAATTTCCTAAATGACCACCTGAGGGGAGCCCTAGAGAACCAATGGAGGAATTGGATTTGCCTTTATATCCCATAAAATAAGTATTTGGGCTTCCAGAGAAATTGGAATCATCTCTAAGGAAGAGAGAGCTGCCTTCCTAGGGCTGGAAGCCTCAGATAGGCATGGGTGACCTGGGTCTAATCAAGACTGGTATTACCTTGCTAGTCAGAGGCAGTTTGCAGAGAGGGAGGAGTCTTTTCAGAGATGCCTTTAGGAGTGGGGGGGAGGGCTACTCCCTGGGCTTCAGGGCCAGTTCCCGGACCAGAGTGATGCTAGCCAATGTCTAGGAGGAAATTTGCAAACCAGAAGAACAGAAGCTTTGGAAAATTGCTCTGAGAGGGAGGTGGTGGAATGTGATGATTAGAGCTGGGGTTCAAGAGTCTAGCTACCTCGAATCAAATTCTGACTCTGCCTCTTGCTAGCTGTGTAATGGTTTAACTCTTCTATGACTCAGTTTTCTCATCAGTAAGATGGAAATACTAGTGCATATGATGTGCAGCTTCTGTGAAGGATAAGTGAGCTTGTGCCACACACTCAGGGAAACACTAGGATGAAGTGGTATTTTAAGGGCACAGGCTCTGGAGCCAGGCGGTCAGATTTGAATCCGGACTCCACTGCTGACCACATGCATGAAGTGGGTCAAGTTATTGGATTTCTCTGTCGTGGTGTCCTGTTTTATGGGGGTAATAACAGCACCTCCTTTATTTGGCTGTCATGAAGACTAATGAGTTAATCTAGGTGAAGCGTTTAGAGTGGGTGGTGGCTGCGCTCAGCGAGCAGTCCCTTAGCTGTGGTGACCAGGACGCCAGCTCCATCCCAATGTGGGTGAACTCTTGGGGCCTACAGTAACCCAGCAATAGTATTTGCATTCTGCTGGAAGCACGCACTAGAAGGAGAAATCCATGAGCTCAGTGCAGATTTATCAGGAGATCCCTACCGCCCTGCCTCTGGGCGGCTGGCTCTGTGGGTAGAGTTGAGCTGCCTGTTCCCTCCAGTTGTGGTCACACTGGCTTCTTTGTTTTATTTTTTTCTCTGTTCTAGTCTTATCTTCGCTTCTAGGCTGTCCACCAAAGACATGCTGCCCCCAGCAGCGTTGGTAGACCTGGCTGGGCAGAACAAGGCAGCCGCAGCCAGTGTGGGGTGACTGATGGCTCATGGGGAGCTGGGCTTCCTTTCTGCCCTAGGGCCTGGTTGTAGAAAAAAAAAAGCAAATGAAAAATGGTAGCAATAAAGAAGACTGCTGCTGGTAGACAATGCTTCTTTGTTTCTGGGTAAATGATAAGGCTTAGGCCTTCCACCAAGGAGTCTGAGTAACCTGGTTCTCTTTCCAGCTTCTGGAACCCACTTGTGTTATTGCTACTGGCCTGTTCCTATGGTATACCACTTCCTTATGGTCCTGCCTTATAAAGGCCTCCTCATGATTTGCCTGTTCCTGCGTGGCTTGCTTTGAGAGACAAACACAGGGGTGGGATGTGGCGAGACTCACAGCAGCTACTGGTAAACATTCCAGAGCACCACCAGGCAGGAGAGCAAACTCAGTTTTGGCCCATGCTGGCAGTCTGGGGGAAGTCACATTAATAGTTAACCTCTTGGGGCCTTTTTTTGCAAAATGAAGGTGACATTAACTGACTTTAGGAAGTATCCTGAGACTAATGAAATCCTCAGAGAAAGAGCTAAGGGATACCAAGTGGTGGTATTTACTGTGTTGACAGAACAGTAATACTCATTAGATCTTCTGATTTTAAGGCCTGAGGGTGATCATCCTCAGGTGGATAGTTCTTCCCACTGCTACCCTTCCCTTCTTCCCTCCAGTCAGTCCTTCTCTGAAGATCAGGAATATTCTCAAGAATTGTTAACCTTTGGACTGGCAGTGGGGCAGGAATTCTGGAAAGAGAGCCATTCCGGGAGCCTGGTTTGACCCTGAGATACAGTGAGGCGGGTCCTCTGAGAGCCTAAAGAATGGCTTCCCTCATCCTCCTCACCTATCCTCCTCACTGACCTGGGAAAACTGCCACCCACAGATCACACCCTGTTTCTTCACTCTGCCCTTTCCATAAAGTACCTTTCCTCTTGAGAGATCAGAGCTACAGTGGTGCTTGGGTGGCTCAGTCGGCTAAGTGTCTGCCTTCAGCTCAGGTCATGGTCTCAGGGTCCTGGGATCAGGCTGTCTGCTCAGTGGGGAGTCTGCTTCTCCCTTTGCCCCTCTCCGCTGCTCGTGCGCACTGTCTCTCAAATAAACAAAAAAAGTCTTAAAAAAAAAAGAAAGAAAGAGGTAATACGAAGTCCAGCAAATACGGTTACAGTTTCCAACATCCAACAAAAGAGCATGGGGGCAAAATGAAGATATCCTGTTGAACGCAATTTCTGCAGTTAAGTGTTCAGTCAGCCACCAGAGGGTGCCCACAGAGTCTCTGAAAATGACCAAAACCTGAAGAATTAGAGAAGAAAGATGATTTCCTGTGAATGTAAGGCCAAGACAAAATGTAGCTCGCTCACACCTGACTTGAATAGATGCACAGGCCAGCTATGAAGACATGAGTTTGCAGGGGAAGGACAGCCAGGGTGGGAGTGATAGAAATTACCTGAATTTTAGCTAAACAAGTTGCTTCTTGATTTTTCAATTGGCAACTGCAATCGCACTTTGAGGATTGGCTCAGGGCACATTCTCATTCCTTGGCAAAACTCCCTTCCCCACCTTTTCCCCATCCTTGTGTACAAAGGAAATGCAAATACATGTAAATATTACCCTAAGCCACAGTCTTCTTGGAAGAGTAAGGCTGCTGCCCCTGCTGCTGCTTTAAAAAAAAAAAAAATCCTATAATGCAAGTGAAAGGACAGATTTTCTGAACCACTGCTCCTGCACCAGGGTGAGGCCTCTGAAAGAAGAAACGGAGAAGCCATGGTTCTCTGAAGAGAGGGCCTGTATGGAGCGTGCCTGGAATGAGAGAAGCAGAGGGACAGCTCCTGCGCTCTCCCCAGCGGGGCCTGGCAAGCAGGCTGTGTCTAGCATCCTTGGATCTCCAGGGCCTGGCACAATGACTGACATACAGTAGGTGCCCATAGATGTTTGTTGAACGAGTGAGTGAATGAATGGGGAGTAAACTGGAGTGGCTGGCTGGGAGCATTCACCAGCTTAGGGGAAGAATTGGGAAAGGGGTGGGTGGGGGTTAGGGGGTAGGGTAACTTTCCAGGGACAAGAGGTCCCGTGTTCTGGTTTGCTTCTACCTCAGGCCTTTTCTGTGGATGTCCAAGACTCCAGAACAAAATGTTCGACTTTGTCCTAATGCTGGTCAAACTACTCAGTGGCCCCATTCATTCATATGGTCTACTCATTTATGGTGATCGAGCAGCAATGGGGACCCACTCAGGGGACCCCGGTCTCCTTTGGCCATTCCTGGTGAACCGGGGATGTGAATGTTGGAGAAACTGAGTACGTTACTAATACCGAGCAGGGGCTTTGGCTCTCTGGAAACCCAGCTAGTGTGGAAATGGGCTTAGGCATTGGTTACTGGGTAATTGCACCACTGATCTTTCCGGATAAGTGCAGGCAATGTGTGTGTATATATATATATATGCTCTTTGTGTGCTTGTGTGGGTATGACTTTGCAAGCATGAGAATGGGTTGCATTAATGCCTTGCCCTTGATGTAACAAGTTACTACAAACTGGATGGCTCAAAATAACAGAAATATATTCTCTCATGGTTCCGGAGGCCAGAAGTCTGAAATCAAGGTGTTAGCAAAACAGGTTTCTGCTGGAGGCTATGTGGTGGAGAATCTGTTCCATGCTTCTCTCCTACCTGCTGGTGGCTATCAATAATTCTTGGCATTCCTTGGCTTGTAGATGCATTGCTTCAATCTCTGCCTTTGTTGTCTTCACATGGTATTCCATGGTCTCTACAATTTTATTTCTGTCTCTTATAAGGATACTTGTCATAGGAGTTGGGGTTCACCCTAATCCCAGATGATCTTGTCTAAAGAACTTTACCTTAATTGCATCTGCAAAGAACAAATAAAGTTCCATTCTGAGGTTCTGGGTGGATATGTCTTTTTGGGGAACACCATTTAACCCAGTACAAACAAGATACAAATGTGTTTATTGCTGGATTACTCAGCTGGTGGATCACACATGTGCTTAAATAAGCAAATTTTGGGGTATTGAGAGCGAGAGATTGATTTTATTTTTGAAAGAATTTGGTATTTCAAAAAAAATGAAGTCCTTGTGGAAAAAATGTGATTTAGGATTGTTTTAAATTCTTTTTTTTAAAAAAGATTTATTTATTTGAAAAAGAGAGCATGAGCGAGCACAGACCAAGCAGGGGGGAGGGGCAGAGGGAGAGGGAGAAACAGACTCCCACTGAGCAGGGAGCCCCTATGTTGGCTTCATCCTAGGACCCCAAGATCATGACCTGAGCAGAAGTAGATGCTTAACTGACCGAGCCACCCATGTGCCCCGGATTGTTTTAAGTTCTAATTTCATATCAATATGGGAGAAAGAAATCATGCTTTCACTGCCTAGGGTCTCTAAAGGTGTTGATCAAGGCAGTTAATGAATTATATGTAGGTCAATATGGTAAGAAGGTAGAATGTGAGAGTCTTTGTTGTTTTGTGGCTTGCAGTGATCGAGGTCACTGGTGACCTTAGCAAGAGCAACCACCATATTGTTAACATCAGTGGGTTGGTGTTGAGGATTGAATGGAGGTGAAGAGATGGTTAGTGTGGATATCTTTTTGCAAGGAGCTTGATTGTGAAGTGAGAGAGAAGATTCAGTGGTCCCGGAGATGTGGTCTGTGACCTTAGAAGGTTAATTAATAATTTGCTATTTGTGCTTGCTACAATTAGCTTTAACTGCTGCCAGAACTTCTTAGGGATAGTATCCACTGATCATGTCTCTTCAATAGTGCAAACGGAGGTTGCTAGCCAGGCCCAAAACTTCCCCCCAGGTGCCTTTGTGTCCTGGGTAGAGCAGCACCTCAGCACCCAATTCCACAGCTTGACAGAACCTCAGCACACCATGCCAGTGCCTGCCCTGTCCTTTGCTCAGCTGTATCCCCTGCCCATGTGTTCTTCTTCTGTTACCTGCTCATCTTTTTTTTTTTTTAAAGATTTTATTTATTCATGAGAAACATAGAGAGAGAGGCAGAAACATAGGCAGAGGGAGAAGCAGGCTCTCTGCAGGGAGCCCGATATGGGAGTCGATCCCAGGATCCCAGGATCATGACCTGAGCCAAAGGCAGACACTCAACCACTGAGCCACCCAAGCGCCCCTACCTGCTCATTCATTAAAGCTCAGCTGGAATATTCCCTGTTTGTTCTACCCTTCCCCCATGAAATTGCTCAGTCTTTAGAACCCCCATAGCACCCTTAAATTATGGACATAGCACTTATCATGGTAATATGGAATTCCTACATTTGCTGCCTCTTTCATTAAATCATTGGGATCAGGATCCATGTCTTTCCTTTTTCCAGTCCTTAGCTCCTCACACAGTATTGGGTCTTTAGTATGAGGAGTTCAAAAAATATTTATTAAGTTAGTTTGCAATTATTACATTACCATTCAAACAATAAGTATGTGTGAAGGAGAACACTGTTGGATGTCCAGCAAAGGAATCCAGTTAGGAGAGAGAAAAAGAGGGGAATGGAGCGCTCGTTACCAGCATCCTTTACCCATTTCCAGTGCAACTTGAATCCAGGTTTTGTGCAGGTATCTGCATTCTTCCAAGCAGTCATGTGCCTTAGAGGATACTCACCCTTCTCCAGCCTAATTGGGTGGATCTGATTGGACTGCAGGTAATCACATTGCTATTGCCAGAGGTTGATTCATGAATGGGCATTACACCCAGTTCTGGCCAATGAGACATGGATGACTTCTGAGAAATGTTTTCTTGTTCCTAAGAGAACAAAAGAGATGTCTCTTCTTTCACAGGATGTTGTCACGTCTGGAGGGGAGACCTGGAATTACTGAAACCATCTTGCCATCAGCCTGAGATGGAGCAGATGCATGAGGATGGCAGAGCAGAAAGATGGTAAGAGGGGTGGGGAAAAAAAAGAAAGAAAGATAGTAAGAGCCTGGATCAATAATCATATAGCTGGGCCACTGAAACTGCCTACCCAACCCTCTGCCCCTTAAGAATTACAGTTATTGCAATTAATGCCATTTCCCGATTGTTTAAAGATGCTTGAATCTGTTTTTATGACTTGAAGCCAAAAGCATCCTAACTGAAACAACTTGCCATATAATAAACATTCATAAAATATAACTTGATTTTAAAGTGATGGCCTTAGAAACAAAAGAGCATGTTCCCTGAGACCCCCCCCCATGCACTAGGATTTGGAAAAGTAAAATATGGTATTCCTATGGTCTTCTCCCTATCGGCTTAAGATCATTTCATTTATTTGCCTATGCCACTCAGATGATAGAAGCAAAATTTCTTTTCCTAGGAGATTAAAAAAAAATTAGTCATGAGCTATCTGAGGGAAAATAAAGTTATAAGACATAGAAGAAACCTCGTTGCTTTGGGGAGATACATAAATAAAGCTTTAAAAATTGAAGTACAATTGATTTTGGTTAAGTTCTAAAATATTAAAATAGGGTACCACTGGCTCATGAATAGAGAAATGAAACAGAATCAATATCCAGAAGTAGACCCCCTAAACATATAGGGATTTAGCATATAATAAAGGTCTTATTTCAAATCAGTGGGGAAACTAGATGTTTTATCATTGGTGTTTGGACAACATGGTAAGCAGCTCTAACAATAAATACATAAATAAAGTTGGAACCATACCTCATACTTTGCCAAAGAAACTCCAAATGGGTCAAAGATTTTAAATATGCAAATGTGAAGCCATAAAAATATGAAAAAATATGGACTTTTTCATGTAATTTATGACCAAAGAAAACCTTTTAGAATAAGACGCAAATTACAGCAGTTATAAAATAAAAGACTGAAAAATTTTACCATGTTTTAAAAAATATGCATGCAAAAACAACCATAAAAGGAGTCAAAAGTCAATGGACAAATTGGGAAATATATTTGCAATTCATTGCTACATAATCAATAAGAAAAAGACCAATAACGCAATATAAAAGTAAAGAATATTGTGTTAGGTGACATGGATTGGCAATTTGGCAGTATCTATCAAAATTACAAATATATATATAATCTTTGATTCAACAATTTTATTTATAGGAATTATTTATAATAATTCTGTTAGTAGCAATTCTATTAAATTACAGACATACTCCTAGATGTGGAAATCACTTATTGAACAATGTTATTCATTGCAACATTGCTTGTGGTATCAAAAAGTTGGAAATAATGGACGTGATCACTAACAGGAGAGTGGTTAGACAAATGATACTATGCTAATATAATGAATTACTACTCATCATGGAGAAAGATTGAGGAGCTTTTAGTGTACTGGTGTGGAGTGACTTCTGGTATATATTAAGTAAAAAAAAGTAAGGAATGGAACAGAATAATGGGTTAGCTACCGTTTGTATAAAAAAAAGATGGTGAGAGGTGGGGGGCCTGGGTAGTGAATTGGTTAAGCATCAGACTTTTGGTTTCAGCTGGTGTCCTGACTTTGGGGTCATGGGGTCATGATCTTGGGGTCATGGAATCGAGCCTTGTGTTGAGCTCCATGCTTGAGTCAGCTTGAGATGATCTCTCTCCTGCCTCTCCCCACTCAAATAAATAAATCTTAAAAAAAAAAAAGATGATGAGAGATGCCTTGCACAAATTTACTTGTATGTTTCTGCAAGGAAAAGTAGGAAATCAGTGACACTGATGCCTCTGGAGTGGAACTGGAAGGCTGGAGCATGTGCAGGGGAGAGAGACTTCACTGTGTAAAATTGTATGTGTTTGACTTATGAACCATGTGAATGTATTAACTATTCCAATTCCAAAACAGATAAATTACAAGATATCTTGAAAGCAACGGGGAGAAATAGAAAAACCCTCAATGCTTTAAAAATGAAAACTGAAAATGACGAACTGTAAATCAAATTCAATAAATGCAGGACACCTGATTCCAGCATGAGTAGGGCCCTGCATCTCCATTTTCTCTCTCTACCAACCACAGATAGGTTGGAGTTTGATTTGCCAGCCCTAAGCCCCCTCCCTACTGCTTCCCATTCCTCCTGCCCCAAGGTCAAGCTCTCTGCTGGGAATTCACCTCTGTGCTTCTGTCTTCTTTATACCCAGGGCACAGCACTAAGCTGAGGGCATCCTACTTTCCTCTGCTGGGCACAAGTGATGGGTGCAATTGTCTGTCTGAAGGGTGGGAGAGGAGTTGAGACACTTAATTTTGGAAAATTAGACTAAGGCCGAAGAAAATTAATATAGGTCAAGGTAGGAGGTTTTTACCTGTAGAATGCTGTAACAGGGTAGGTGAGAAGAAATGATGATAAACCAAAGAAAGGGGAACCACCCACTTGCCACTTGGCTGAATTTTTCTCTTCTCAGAGTCCTGTAGTTGATGCCTTATAAACATCAGAGGGGATTTGATGACTTGTCATATTCAGTCCTGACTATTGAAATGAAAAGGATAGAAAATGAAAAGTATGGAAAATGAAAATCAATTGCATTCTTTAATTTTAGTCATCCCATTCCTGGAGCATATTGAATACTACTTTGGGTTCTTTCATTGTTCAGGTTATTAATAACAAAGAACCAAAGTATTTCACATTCCTAAAGAGTCTTTCATCTCAAAGGAGCCAATGTAATTCACTAATTCAGTTACCTGAACTACATTTGGTAATTATTTGAGGATCACTTCACCCAGGGGTGAATTTCAACGAGTTGTGTGACACAGCCAACAGTCACTTCATTCTCCAGTCAGTGCAAAAGAAAAATGAATAGCTAATGGGGATGTCCTCCTGAAGGATTTGCCCAGTGAAAACTTCAGGGAGATGGATGCTGAAAGAATGTAATTAACTGCCCGAAATTAGTACCTCCACTCTTACTCAAGGTTTCCTGACCTCTTTACTAAAGTCAGGGTGGAGAGGTGTCTTATCTGAGAATGGGGCTTTCTAGCAGCCAAGAGACCTGTGAACAGCAGTCACTCCATTGCTATATCTTTTTGAGTGACTATAAATGGTATTGTATTTTTAATTTGTGTCCACATATTCACTGTAAGAATATAGAGATGCAATTAATTTTTCTATTGTTACAATTGATTTTTGTATGTCAACCTTGTATCTGTGATCTAGTTGAACTTAGTAGTTTGAGGAATGTTTTCTTTTTTTAAAGATTCCTTGGAATTTCTATGTAGACCATGATGATCTGCAAATAGGGGCATTTTTAGTTCTTACTTTCTTATCTGTATGCCTCTATTTTCTTTTCTTGCCTTATTGAGCTGGCTAGATCACAGGAATAGCAGTGATGAGAGCAGACAACTTTGTAGACGTCTTTACCTTATTCCTGGTCTTAGGGGAAAAATGTTCAGTCTTTTACAGTTTGTTAGCTATAGGTTTTTTGTTGATGTTCTTTATCAAATTGAGGAAGTTTCTTGCTATTCCTAGTTTTTTGAGAGTTTTTACAAACATGAATAGGTGTTGAATTTTTATCAATTGATAAAAATTGATACATCAATTGATACAGTCACATCAATTGATACAGTCACAAGATTTTTCCTCTTTATGAATATGGGTGACTACATGGATGATTTCTGAACTTTGAACCAGACTTGCATCCTGTGAATAGCAGTTATTTCAATACTACCTATTTTAAAGTTTATTTACAATGAATGGTGCCTCAGTTATTTGATCCTATAATGGAGGTGGCTGTGGAGGGGGAGAAGAGAGATTCAGTAGCTGGAGCTTTTCCAGCCAAGGGCATGTGGCTTGATCTACTTTACTGAATCCATTAAGACTTCTTTCTCTCTTCCATCTACTCTGCTATTACCCAGAAGTCGAGAAACTGTTGCCAGTAAGCCACCTGCCCATTACCCTTGAGGCCGGTCATTAGAGAGTGTAACATGGAGTTTGGCTACTGTGAAAGCTTGTGTATGTGGAAGCATGCTCACCAGTCTGCTGTCTCAGAAAGAATGATCTCCACTTCCCTTCTGTATAGCAGATAGCACATGAGTACATTTTATTTTATTTTTTTAAAAAGATTTATTTATTTATTCATGATAGACACAGAGAGAGAGAGAGAGAGAGAGAGAGAGAGAGAGATACAGGCAGAGGGAGAAGCAGGCTCCATGCCGGGAGCCCAACGCGGGACTCCATCTTGGGACTCCAGGATCGCGCCCTGGGCCAAAGGCAGGCGCTAAACTGCTGAGCCACCCAGGGATCCCCCATGAGTACATTTTAATGGCAGAAGATAAATTATATCTAAAACCCTAGCAGAAAAGGAGTAGGAAGGCATGGCTTTAATTCTTCCAACCCCTGTGATCCAGGGGGGAGCATTGAAAAGAGGCAGAAATAGATGCAGAGGGCCAAGAGACAAAATTTAGCACTCCCATCTGCCTCCCTGAATCTGATAGGAAACAGACCTTCCATCTACTCTTCTTAATTACTTTGCAAATTCTTTCTCTTAAATTTTAATGTCATCTTTCCTCTTTTATTTCCATCATCATCATTCAAAAACCTACTTAGAAGGATATATTTGCAAAGGTGGAGTTGAGGTAGAAAAGAAAGAGGTAAGATGCAATGCAAAATGATATCTACTATTTTAAAGATCTATTTGAATGAGGTGTGTTTGAGAAGATGAGAAAGAAAAAAAGGCAAACAGAGCTTAACTATTTCCAGAAGAGTCTAGATTGTAGCAGCTGGAGTGGTCTACATATGTAGCCTGGAGATAGTGTGCAGAGTGAGCAAGAGTCAATTAAGGGCAGGATTCATGGGGCTGGGGGCTCAGTGATGGGACATGACCTTTGCTGAGAGGAATAGACGGGCAATGATCATGTTCAGAGAAACAGAGCCAAGGACTTGAGTAGGACAAGCTGCAGTTTGATTGGCAAGTCAAAGTGGAAATCAAGGTAATTGGGAAGGAGAATTTGGAGTCAGGGGCTGGGA